ACGGGCCGCCCCCGCGCTCCCCGCGGCTCCCGCGGCCGCCGCCGCCGCCGCCGCTCAGGCTCCCGCTCTGGCCGCCGCCGCCGCCGCCGCCGCTGCCTCGGCTCGCCGCCGCTCCTCCGCCGCCGCCGCCGCCTTCACCGCCGCGGCGCGGAGTTTTCAGACGGGCAGGGACCCGGACGTCACCAGGAGGAGGGAAAGGCGGGGAGGCGGGGAGGCGGGGAGCTGGAGGCCGCGGAAGGGGGCGGCGGGCGCGCGCGTTCGGGCGGGGCGCGCGGGGAGGGCGGGGGCCTAGCCCGCGGGGCTCCCCCCGCCCCGCAGCCCCTTGCCTGGGCTGGGGTCGCCGGGGGTGGGGAAGAGGCTGCGGGCAAGCGGGCTGGGGTGGAGAGGGGTGGGGCCTGGGGGCGGAGCACGGGAGGGAAAAGGAGGAGGGAGAGGAAGGGGGTGGGGGAGAGCTGAAGGGGCCCACACCCCACCCCCAGGACCCGAGCCGGAGTGGGTGGGGGAAGGGGGACAGTTCCCGCGGCCGAGAAGACGAGGAGGGGTCAAAAAAGCAGGGGGAGCTTTGGGTGAGGGTCGGCCCGCTCAGAATCTAGGGGAGGTCGGGAAGCTCTGGAGGTCCTGAGATCCCCTTCCATGTGGGAAGCAAGCACGAGGCAGCTGAGTGGAGCGGGCTCCCCGCCCGGAGTTTGCGGTCCAGGTGTCTTCTATGAGCACAGAGACTGCTTGGCAGGTGGAGACGGGAGAAATGTGTCAGGAATGTGTCGTCCAGGGAAGGGGCTCACGCTGCGGATCCCTGGATCCCTGGCTTGAAGGGGCAGGGAGGAGGCTACAAATGAGTGTGAGTGACTTCTGAATCACACCCCACCCCCTAGTGCCAAAGATGTACTGTACTAAGTGCTTTATTGAGTCACTTCTCTGATCCCTAAGGACGAACAAGCCAAGAGACTTCCAAACCCAGTTGGCAAGCAAGTGCTTTCATGGGGAAAGGGAGACCCAGTGGAGTTTCTCAACCTTCACTGGCTGCAAGCCCCAAAGTCTGGCCCCTGCATTCCACCAGGTCCATTCTTCTCATCCACCCTGAAGCCCGTCTTCCTGACTGCACAGGGCCCACCTCCTGGGGGAACAGGTCTTGCCTTCTAAAGTGGAGTTCTTTCCCATCAGGGCTGGACTGTCCTGGTGACCTTGAGCCAGGAGGACTCCTCCCTGGGCCTGAGCTTCCTCCTCTGCCAACGACGGTTAAGGCTGACGATCCCAACGGCCTCAAGTTTCATAGTCAGCCTTCTCTGACTCAGTCTTTCCCTCCCCTGTCCTCTTGCCCAGCAGCCCTGAACACATGGTGAGCGGATAGAGGGAGTGGGTGGCCCAGACAGGACTTAGCACTATCGGCATACAATAGCAGATCAAATCCCCGGCTTGTCAGTCTTGGACTCGGGGTGAACGTTTTGCATCTTGTCCACTGTGTTTGTAAACCAGATCCTAATTTTAAGGGAGGAAAGTGAAGGAATAAAGAGGATCCATCAGAGGAGGCAGGGAAGAGATGGTTTCATCCACTCAACGACAGTCTGTGGACATCAAGCTGTGTCAGACACTGGGCGAGGTGCAGGAATCCAAAGGTGGGTAAGGCTTCATTTCCCCTTCAGCAAGCTTGGGGTCTAGAGGAGCCTGATGTGCATGTCGGTCGTTAACAAGCAGTGAGGTCAGTGTCACTTTGGAGATGTGCACAAAGTGCTATGGGTTCATGAGGGTGGGGCAGGAGTGACCACCAAAAAGATGCTTTCTGGATCCGTGTAATAAGCGAGGCCGCTTCCCTGAACTGGGAGTGTAAAATGCCAGCTGGTGGCGGGGGGCGTGGTCTGAACTTCAAATGAGACTCAGCCTTCAGATTACCCAAACCTGGCCAGCCGTGTAGCCAGGCACAGAGGCCTCCCCCTTGCGCTTAGCCCACCTAACCAGGAGTGAGCTCGAACAGAGGCGAGCTCCTATGGCCACGCCACAAGTCTTTTGTCATCTGTTTATCACCTGGGAATATTTTGGTTACAAGTAATAAAGCATTTATTATACCTTTAAAAATAGAGTTTGCTGGATCATATAACCAAATGTTCTAGAGTAAAGATATCAGGTGAAGTTTGATCCAGCAAATCAGAACTATGACCTAGGACTCTTTTACTCTCCATCTCTCCTCTCTGCCTTTCACGAGGTCTGCTTCATCCTGAGGTCCTCTCTTCATGTCACAGCCAGACATCAATTAATTGTATCCTTTGTTCATTTCTAGCCGAGGAGAAGGAGGGTCAGTATTTCCCAGCATTCTCCTCAAAGGTCCAGATATTCTCTCTTTTTGAACCAGCTTTAGGTCATAGGTCACCCCTAAACTAAGCACTGTGGCCAGAAAGATAGAATGTGCTGATCAGCTTGGCCAAGGTCCCATATACCTCCTCTGGCACCCGGGCGAAGCCAGCTTCCCTACAACCACCTGGATGTTCTATAGGGATCAGGATCTGACAGGAAGGTGGGAATAGGTGCCGGGGAGGCTGCTTCTACTCTATGCAGCCACTGTGATGCTTACATGACCTTGGGCAAGCCACTCCTTTCCCAGGACTTCAGTTTCTTTCATGCCAAATGAAGGATTGGATGAGATGGTCCCCAAGATCATCATGTCATGTCCCCAAAACTCTTCCTCAATGTCTAAAGAGAGCTTTTCAATCCAGCAGAGGCTGCCCTGGAGACTCTTGTCATCCCTGCCCTCTGGCCCGTCTTTGCTTCAACGGCTCTGCTGTGTTCTTCCTCTAAGCAGCAATGATGTTATCTGCTTCCTCCACGTGATACGTTTAACCACAGTCCTTTGGGGCCCACACTCTGGTTCAGCTCCCTCGAGGGCCACAGGCTGAAGGAGTGAGGTTAAGGATCCAGGCCCCCAAGTCCCCGGAGAAAGAGAGAGTGGTTTGTTTATCTCAACTCCTAAAATGCCACATGAAAAAGAGGTTTAAAAGCTCCGGGCAGGTTATGGGTGCCATAAACAGCTTATGTGAGGTTTTTAGGATGAAAAAATCACCTGAGATAGAGGAGCAGGAAGGCAGAATTCTAGGGCCCACCTTCCTGCCCCAGGGCAGACGAGCAGCACCTCAGGCACCTTCGTGGAGCTCAAGCACTGCCTGAGACTCCGGCGGCAGCAGCCATTAGCAACAGCAGCAAGTTTCTTGAGAATTTTTAAAGCTCATTCAGTCGTTCAACACAGATGTATTGGACCCTATTATGTGCCAGGCATCATGCTGGGCAGGCGAGATATAGAAATGAAGAAGATTCCCTAAGGAATTTTTCTTTTTAAGTACGGTTCTTACTCTTGCATTAACTGAGAGCCAGAGCTCAAAAAAGTTCCAGCTGATTTGTGGGATTCCCTTCCCTTCCCCATCCCCAAATCTTGTTTCATCACTGCTTTCCAAGGAGAGGAGAGAAAATCAGTGAATCAGTAGTTTTGAGCTCCTGGTTTGCCCAGCACTAGGCTCGGGGCCGAGAGGGAAATCGGGAGGAGAGGCGGGGCACGGTCTTCACCCTCAAGGAGCTGTCAGATTGCCAGCTCTGCCGCTTTTTAACTGAGACTTTCAGCATCAATTGTTCCCTTCTTTATGCCTCAGTTTTTTCATCTGTAAAATGGGGGGATAATAATAGGGCTTTTCTCATAGATTTCTTGTAAGGATTAAATTAGATAACCCATGTAAAGATTTTTTTCTATAGAGACTGGCACACAGTAAGTGCTCAATAAAGGTAAGGCATTATTGATTTCATTTATAACAGTAAGGCAGAGTCGAAAGATATAAGAGGGAAAAAAGCATAGTCAGGGAAGGCAGCCTAGAAGAAGTGGCACTAAACCTAGTCCTTGATTTTGATGGAGGACTGCCAAGTACCCCAAGGGCGGGGAGCTGGTCTCATTCTTCTCGGCTCTCTCTGGCACTTTCCATAGTGCAGGGCACTGAGTCAACTCTGGTTGAGCAATGAACACCAATGACAGGCGTGCAGCTGGAAATGAGCCTAGTGTGTTCCTCCAGCGGCAAGACAGCTGGCGAGTGGAGCTTGGTACCCACAAGTTCGCAGACCCCATCACAGCAACTTTTTAGTTGTATGATTTTAAGCAAGTTGTTTAACCAGACCTCAATATCTCCATGTGTAAAAAGTGAAAGAGAGTAATACCTATTTCTTAAGTTTACTAGGGGGCAGGGACAGGGAAGCGGCGTCATATATTTCCTATAAGATGTTGGCACTGACCAATGGCAGAGTTGAAGGAATGTTAGCAGGCTGGTCTGTAAGGAAATGCTCTGCCCTTCTCTCAAATAGTTCTGGCAGAAGGTACCAGAGACCTAGGGCTTGACATGCCTTCTTCTGAATTTAAATAAACTTCAGCCTAAGAATAAATTTAGTCAAATATGTGGTTATTATTTTTTAAAATCTTAAGCATGTGCCTGTTTCTTTTTGGTTTACTAGAGGCTTTTTTTACCCAGACTCTACAAATTGACCCTGACTTTGCTCTTAAAAAATTAAAAACCTCCCCCTAGGTTTCACTTCTGCATCATCAGAAGTGAAATCATCAACATGGGTCACCTGTTCCTGAGTGTCATCAGAAGAGAGATATCATCAACATGGGTCACCTGTTCCTGAGTGTCAGCAGGAGAGTTATGCATGGAACATCCATCTTCCCATCCCCAGGAATTCCCAATTCTCTCCAACAAGTGCATGCAAACACCAGGGTTCCAGGGCGCTTGGAGGTCAGAAGAGCCAGGATGCCCAAAGCCCCTCCCTCGGGGCCCCCAGAAGCACATGAAGCCATGAACACGCATCACCTGTACCACACACCCCCCCCCAACCCAACCCAAGAGAAGGAAACAGCCTCTGTTCAGACCACAGGCTTAGGCAGAGGACATGCCCCGCCAGACTCCCAGCTGTGCTTCTGAAACCTGCAGCTTTTCCAGAGAACCATCCAGCCACTGTATCAGCAGAGGGAGCTCTAGGTAGCAAATAACTGTCCTCTGACAGCAGACAGTACTTTCCTGTAGAAAAGATTTGTAGGAACCAAGGAAAAGCAGGGGTCCTAAGTGGAGCTGGCGTCCATCCTGTGCAGAAGAAAACGCCACCAATCTGCAAGGGTAGCTTGCGGGGTGGGGGTCAGGGCTGGGTGGTGATTCGGGAGAGGAAGAGACACCAGTTGAGGAAAA